AAATAAGGAGCATTTATTAATGTGAGCCTGTGGTTTACCCATGGAGTTGTATGGGGCTGTGGGGTGTATTATTTATATGATGAATAGATATGTGCTGTGCTCAAATAGGGTAAGTAGCATAAAGTGTAAGTATGCACCCTATACTCCCCCATATAATAGCTAAATGATGAGTTTTGTGGATGAATACCAATAAATAAATAAATATCAAACAATACATACTGTATACCAAACATAAATGAATTAAACATATAAAGTGACTGAATATTCCCAATTTTATAAAACGTCCTTATGCTTCCACCAAGTGCTGCATGAATTCAAATTGTGACAGTCCTTCTTTGACTTCAAAATTTGGTGACATAGAAATTCATGTATCCACACCTCAGTGCAAAAAGCAAACGAATGGATCACTCACCAGACCTATATAACCCCCATTCCAGTGGTCATATATCGCATTGTGTGTTTTAAATCTCTGGAGGTTCCTCCCCGTATAATCAGCAACACCCGCACTTCCAGCTTGGATAGCCAGAGGGACTGATGTATAATTTCCAATAAATTTCCCAAACAATAGTTGAAGGGATTCAATTAGATAATCCTGGCTTTCTATGACATAATACTCAAAAAATCGACAACAGTAATGATGATCTATGTGTAGTATTTAATATGCCAAGAGTAAGAATAGTAACAAACTCAGTGCACTCACATGATAAGGTTCCTAGGAAGCCGGCACCAGCATGTATTGCCTGTATATTTTAGATCAAAGATGGCCAACATACGTTCCAAGCCTCTGTCCCGGCCGGACGTGAGTGTCACCGGAGCCCGGATAAGACGATATCATGCTTTCTTCGACGTACGTTTCGCCACCAGCATGTATTGCCTGTATATTTTAGATCAAAGATGGCCAACATACGTTCCAAGCCTCTGTCCCGGCCGGACGTGAGTGTCACCGGAGCCCGGATAAGACGATATCATGCTTTCTTCGACGTACGTTTCACCACCAGCATGTATTGCTTGTATATTTTAGATCAAAGATGGCCAACATACGTTCCAAGCCTCTGTCCCGGCCGGACGTGACATCACCGGAGCCCGGATAAGACGATATCATGCTTTCTTCGACGTACGTTTCGCCTGGCTGCATCTTCAGGAAGTCTGAAACGTATGTCGAAGAAAGCGTGATACCATCATATCCGGGATCCGGTGACACTCACGTCCGGCCGGGACAGAGGCTTGGAACGCACGTTGGCATCTTTGATCTAAACTATACAGGCAATACATGCTGGTGCCGGCTTTCTAGGAACCTTATCATGTGAGTGCACTGAGTTTGTTACTACTCTTACTCTTGGCATATTAAATACTACACATAGATCATCATTACTGTTGTCGATTTTTTTGAGTATTATGGCATAGAAAGCCAGGATTACCTATTCAAATCCCTTCAACTATCGTTTGGGGAATTTATTGGAAATTATACATCAGTCCCTCTGGCTATCCAAGCTGGAAGTGCGGGTGTTGGTGATTATACGGGTAGGAACCTCCAGAGATTTATAACACGCAATGCGATATATGACCTCTGGAATGGGGGTCATATAGGTCTGGTGAGTGATCCATTTGTTTCCTTTTTGCACTGAGGTGTGGATGCATGGATTTCTATATCACAAACTTTTGAAGTCAAAGAAGGACTGTCACAATATGAATTCATGCAGCACTTGGTGGAAGCATAAGGATATTTTATAAAATTGGCAATATTCAGTCACTTTATATGTTTAATTCATTTAAGTTTGGTATATGTATTGTTTGATATTTATTTATTGGCATTCATGCACAAAACTGATCATTTAGCTATTATATGGAGAGTATAGGGTGCATACCTACAATTTATGCTACTTACCCTATTTGAGCGCCTATCTATTCATCACTAATTCATTTGCAAGTGTTGCAGTCACTTTTTAGGGGCAGCTGGAAACACCCTTTAGGGGGTTAATATATTAACACATATCATGTAGTGCCACAATAATTCATTTCTGTCTGTATTATATATATGTGTAGATTGAGAATCTCTTTAGAAATGTGTTGCCTATAACCAGAAACAATCACAATTCTGTATTGTTCTTCTAGGAAGGTAACTACTTCAGGCAATCAGCTAGAGCTATGGGTTATTTTCAGTTCACCCTCATTTTTCGACATGCACTTTTAACTTGATTGGCAACTCCAAATCAATGAAAGCAATTGCAGTGACCAGTCTTTTGTTTGAATGTTCAGTAGATATGATCAGAAAGATTGTGACTCTTTCAAAGCACTGAGTCATATGATCTGCTGCTGCTCTCTCTACATTTTGGATTTCATCCATGTTCCATTAAGATGACCTTGTTGTGCCAACATAAAGTAATTCAATTGCCCTTTACATAGCCGTTCAAATGAAGCAAATGACCTGCATGTATTAGGCTGCCCTCTCCTTAAAACAAAGATCAACTATATAAAATTAATTGCAATCAACGTTTTCCATCTCAAGGGCTTTTAACTCTTTGCCTTACCTTTTATGGATTTGGAAAAAGATTTAATCTGTTAGTGACAACTCTGTAACCTGGTACTAATCTAGGTTAGTGACGTTTATGTGCACTCAAGAAACAAACCTACACATGGTCTTCTAGAATGAAAAATGCTGGCTCTAAATAAACACGAGGATATACAATTTTCAGAAGTTAGTAATGACATTAAAGTTGATTTCAAAATTCAAAATATAAGAAAATTGTATATTGTTTTCTAATTTCTAGTACAAAAAAACTGGATGGTTAAGAAAAGAATGGGGTCATTAATAAACTTTCATCGTAAAACTATATCTATAGAATGTTTTATTCAATGATTATTATTATTATACAGGCTTTATATAGCGCCAAGAGAGTTCAACTACAATATAATTCAATACAAGAGGGTGAGGGATCCGCTTCTAAGAGTTTACAATCTAATAGGAGGGGGGGTGGGCAAGTGGAACAAAAGGTAATAACTGTGAGGGGTGAGCTGATGGGAGAAGTTTTATATTTATATATACAGTGTATATACAAACATTTTATTGGTACAAAAAATTCCTTATTGGTTGGATACTGTAATTGTACAACAACAAACAATTATATTTTTGTATACAGTGGGGTTTTTTTTTTTTTTTTTCGGGGGGGGGGGCAGGGTAATGATCCCTTCAAATGAATAACACCTAACTAAATGTTGCATGGTGACTTTAAGAACTGATTGTATCAAAGTGATGCTAGGTAGGGGGTTGGGAGCAGGTCCACTGTTGGGTAATTCAAGGCAGTGCTGTGTCCTGGTGATCACTAATCACATGATCATTGCAGTCCTCTGTGTACTAGAAGGAATTCTGCAGAGGACTACCTTTCCTTTGCATTTGGGATCCTGACAGCAATCTTCGGGAAGCCAGTGCCTAGAATGTTTCCCTTTTTTTTAAAAGTGATCACATGCCTTCTGTTCGAGGATGCATTAGGATCTTAGAGAGCTGGGGGAGGAAGAGCAGCAGCACACTGACCTTCCCAGTTATTGGCTGTGCAGGATTAAGGAGTATTAAGAGGGTGGGGGGTGTCAGCAAAGTCACTGGAGGACAGTAGGGTGAGTTCTCAGCACAGAAACGTAACCAAGCTGTGCTCTCATGCCTAGTGTGGTCAGTTTTTATTCAGAAAGCAGGGGGACTGGCAGGAACATCGGGGATTTCACACAAAGGAAGCAATACAAATAGAACAAGATACTTTTTTTTATACAAGTACGTGATACAGCAGGCACATATCTGGAATAGGAAATGTTGGGTTGACATATTATTTAACACCATGTTCTTGAGACTGTTATGCTTAAGCCAAATACCATTTACTCTGTAAACCACTTAATTGTACATTAAAGAGCATAAAATTATGAAGTGTCTCACTGATATATTCAATGACTGTATGTGAGAAGCAATGACTCCCCGATGTCATGGAGCACTCGTCAATGGCTCTGAATTCCCATGACATTACTTGACCTTTGCCCTACTGTTGTCGGTGATCCCTCCCCCCCCCCCCCCCCTCCAGGAAACAGCCACTTACTGACACAGGGAAGTTGAAGCTTTAGTATCACAATCAGATTTTAAAAAAATGTACAGTATCTCACAGGAGTACAACCCTCACATTTTTGTAAATATTTTATTATATCTTTTCATGTGACAACACTGAAGAAATGACACTTTGCTACAATGTAAAGTAGTCGGTGTACAGCTTGTATAACAGTGTAAATTTGTTGTCTCCTCAAAATAACTCAACACACAGCCATTAATGTCTAAACCGCTGGCAACAAAAATGAGTACGCCCCTAAGTGAAAATGTCCAAATTGGGCACAAAGTGTCAATATTTTGTGTGGCCACCATTATTTTCCAGCACTGCCTTAACCCTCTTGGGCATTGAGTTCACCAGAGCTTCACAGGTTGCCACTGGAGTCCTCTTCCACTCCTCCATGATGACATCACAGAGCTGGTGGATGTTAGAGACCTTCCGTTTGAGGATGTCCCACAGATGCTCCATAGAGTTTAGGTCTGGAGACATACTTGGCCAGTCCATCACCTTTAACCTCAGCTTCTTTAGCAAGGCAGTGGTCATTTGAAGGTGTGTTTGGGGTCGTTATCATGTTGGAATACTGTCCTGCAGCCCAGTCTCCTAAGGGAGGGGATCATGCTCTGCTTCAGTATATCACAGTACATGTTGGCATTCATGGTTCCCTCAATAAACTGTAGCTCCCCAGTGCCGGCAGCACTCATGCAGCCCCAGACCATGACATTCCCACCACCATGCTTGACTGTAAGCAAGACACACTTGTCTTTGTACTCCTCACCTGGTTGCCGCCACACACGCTTGACACCATCTGAACCAAATAAGTTTATCTTGGTCTCATCAGACCACAGGATATGGTTCCAGTAATCCATGTCCTTAGTCTGCTTGTCTTCAGCAAACTGTTTGTGGGCTTTCTTGTGCATCATCTTTAGAAGAGGCTTCCTTCTGGGATGACAGCCATGCAGACCAACTTGAAGCAGCTTGCGGCACATGGTCTGAGCACTGACAGGCTGACCCCCCCACCCCTTCAACCTCTGCAGCAATGCTGGCAGCACTCCTACGTCTATTTCCCAAAGACAACCTCTGGATATGACACTGAGCAAGTGCATTCAATTCCTTTGGTCGACCATGGCGAGGCCTGTTCTGAGTTGAACCTATCCTGTTAAACCGCTGTATGGTCTTGGCCACCATGCTGCAGCTCAGTTTCAGGGTCTTGGCAATCTTCTCATAGCTTAGGCCATCTTTATGTAGAGCAACAATTCTTTTTTTTCAGATCCTCAGAGAGTTCTTTGCCACAAGGTGCCATGTTGAACTTCCAGTGACCAGTATGAGAGCGTGAGAGTGATAACATCAAATTTAACACACCCGCTCTCCATTCACACCTGAGACCTTGTAACACTGAGTCACATGACACCGGGGAGGGAAAATGGCTAATTGGGCCCAATTTGGACATTTTCACTTAGGTGTGTACTCACTTTTGTTGCCAGCGGTTTAGACATTAATGGCTATGTGTTGAGTTATTTATGGGGACAGCAAATTTACACTGTTATACAAGCTGTACACTCACTACTTTACATTATAGCAAAGTGTCATTTCTTCAGTGTTGTCACATGAAAAAATAGAATAAAATATTTATAAAAATGTGAGGGGTTGTACTCACTTCTGTAAGATACTGTATTTCCACAGACCTTTAATAAAGGCTAAGAAGCCTAGGTAGGTGGAAGGGGAGGCACTATTTTGTACAGCACTTATAGTAAGCCATTACTTCCACTTGAAGGTTGCTACAGGTATGTACAGTCATCTTTAGGTCCTTCATACCTGTTGGCAGATTTTTCTTTTTTAAAGTGACAGAGTCACTGTAAGATCTGACTTATTGTTCCTTTCTAAAGGAAGAGCTTACATTTAACATTCTAAAGTGCTCTGTATTTTCACTGAGGGTTGCAAGAAAAGAAAGGGGAGGAGTCTCAGGAGGTGGAATCAGTACAGGAATCACTGCTTGTAGGCAGCAAGGTACCATGGGATATGTAGTCCTTATAAATTGAAAATATACAGCAGAGGAGAAGCTGCAAAACATGCAGGAAATCCAGAAAGTTGTGGAAAGAGATGGCCAGCAGACAGGCAGAACTTCCAACATGATAGGCGATTTTTCATGTAAGCTTATATTGTATTGTCAAAAATAAGTATTGTTTTTATTGTTATTGCAATGCTGATGTAGTGTATGTTGTGGCCATAGGCCTCCTTTAATACAGTTACATAGTTTAGATTGAGCAGGAATTGTGGAAGTTATATTCTGCAATCATAGAAGCTGCCTTATGTATACGGAGTGCCCTGCAGCTACCATAGAGCTCAGTACGATGCTTATCAGAAAACAAAAGATATGCTTAGACAATATTGTAGCTCCCGCTTTGTCGCTGGTCATTTTGGCTTGATATGATTTGCTTTGAAACAGGTTCACTTTATGTTTCAGCTGTAAGAACTGTGGAATACAAAAAAATCCAGATCACTGCTTGACAAGCAAACAACAAAAATGAAGTTGTCCTTATTGCTGGATTAGTTTTATAGGCATCACTACATATATATATATATTTGATCTGCTTTATGGCCATGAAAATTTCATAAGCAGTTATTACAATATTTAAAACCAGCATTAGCTGTCCTTTCTCTTTATTGCCTTGCCTATTCAGCAGGATAGTGTCCTCTCGCTGGCTCGTGGTGCATAAATTTACAAACATCATGCAAATGTATTATTTGCAATAAAACTGACTAATGAACTTTAAAGGCAAATTACTTTCCCTGTCTGCTGGCTCTGCAAGAGGCAATCATCTATCATTCAAATTTACGCTTGTGTGTTTGCTTTAGGGAAATCATAATCACTTCTTAATTTATGACTTATAAAAGACATCATGGATTTTCAATATCTTTAACAAGTGTGTACCAAAACAGTTCATTTGTTGGCTGCAAGTTTAAATTAGAGTTTAATGTGGCTAGATGTGTGGCTGTCGCAGTATTCACGAGAAAAATAACCAACACCAGACCATTTTCTCTTACTGAAATGGCGTATAGGGTGTACTATATTATTTGATTTGATTGTTGAAGATTTGAGCACCTATTTTTTTTTTTTTATTGGAATGATTTTGGTTTTGCTGTAATAATAATTTTAGTTAGTAGGTAGCATTGCAGGCAAAATATGTAACTGAGAACTACAAGAACCCAAGGAAATAGAAGGCCCCGATTTGTTTTCTTGGGCATCCTCTTTAAGTTACCTGTTAGGTTGCATTCACACTGTTGAGCATTTTAACATGCAGTACTGCAACATGCTGTGTATGTGCGCTGCCATTAATTTTTAATGGCACTCCAATGTGCATGCACAGCGTAATCAGTTGCACCTGCCCCTCAGCACACAGTAATTCATGTAATAAAGAACACATGTTGCTTTATGCTGCAAAAAAAGTGAGGCATGTTACGTTCTATGGCCTGTGTATTGAGGACTCATTAAAAATTAATATGTACTTGCTTAATTTGATACAAGCTAACTCATCAACCAATTAGAGAAAAGGTGTGCTTTAGAATACATACTGTATGGGCCCTTAGCCAGTATGACTTGTTTTAGGTCATGTTTTTGCATCCAAAAATATACATCAGTGGGTGCAATTATACATCCTAATCTCCTTGCAATGACATTGCCAAGCCCACCCTTCTGAACTACATACCCCTACTTGTACACTTCCAAGAAGATGGGATAAATATAGGCAGATAGGCAGAACAATAAGTGGCATATTGGGAACATATGCACACTATATACTGCAGCTCTTTGCAAGATGCTTTCCAACTTGAAGATTAAATTGTCCCTCGGCCCATGTTTAATGGACTCTTCTGTCATGCAGTTGTCAGAATACAAGCTGCTGTGGAAAGTGGCATGTAAAAAGAAATGTCAATTTTTGTTGTTGCATAGAGGTGTCCTTCCACTATTTCTGTGAATGCTGAAAGCTATGTAGTAGGTTTGAGATCAGTGAGAACTATCGGAAAGCTCAACTCTTTACTTATGACTGAAGAAAAAGAAGTCCTTGAAACACTTCATCAGGTCTCATTTCTTATATTAGTGGTGATGAGAACGTGCTTGTCACAGGTTTAGATTCCAGGGTTTCATCCATTAACTGCTTCCCAGCGTTGGCTATGGTGTGTGGGTTCCAAGTATACTGGCTTCCTCTTGCTTTTATACCCCGGGAGTTGTGAGCTTGGTTATCTCTGCACTGTCTACTCCCTTGACCTATTCCTCATTTGTTTTAGGTATTTAAATGTATTAGACATCATTTAAAATGTGTGTATGTGTACATGTTCTTGATTAAGAGCATAGATGGCCACAACAAACCATGTGATGGCTATGATCCTTTATATTATCACCAACAATTGAAGGTATATATAGTACCGGCACCAAAGTTGGCTTGCTTTGTAAGCAGATAGCATGCTTCAATATTAACATGTAGAGATTTTCTGACACAATGGACAACCTATCTTTCTTCAACCACTAATTGTCATTTCTATGGAGAAACTAGAGCAAACCTTCAACTGTGTTTGTGCTGGATAGTACTGTTAAGTTGTAATAAATTCTGAGGCAAGACCCAGCAGTAGTGGTGGGTCAGTGTAATTTAAAACGGTAATACCAGAAGCAGTGGGCTAAAACAACCACTGGCTTCTAATATCTCCCAGTATTCCATAATGTGCCATCCCACCTAAAAGATGTTCTTCTCTCATAGTCAGGGTTGGATTTATACTTCCTGCCGTCCGTAGTTCCCACTGCCTCTCTCTTGTATCCCAATTACACAGTTGTTTTTTTTGGATAACAGTTTGGTTCTAGGTGTCTAGGTGTACAGACCAGTCAAGAACAAGATGTCTTGTTGATTGTGAGCCAGCCCCAGCAAAATTGAAAACTTAGGCCATGATCTATTTTGGCTATGCAGAAATTCATCCCTCATAGTTATACTTCCTAATACTCTTTATTCTTCATGATGGAAAATCTGTCACTGAATCATGAGGTTCAATTCATGAAATGCTATTTACCACTTCAGATCTTGAGGTAAGGTAAAACATTTTTTGCAATTCATCAAAAATTTGTAAAAAAAAAATTTACATTATTTCTGTAGAATGTGCAGTATTTGTCTTATGAAAATGTATTTATCGCATGACGTTATATCCAGTGGGTGTTACTTCTTTTCTGGGGAACACTTCTGAGGACCTTGAAGAAGAAGGATGGATAGTGGTGGAGAGTCTGCATGAAAAGCCCAATGTCTTGGATCTTATAGAACAAACAGTAATTATTTGAAACACGTCCATGCCCTGCCTATTGTGGTGTGGCACCTCCTTACCAAACAAATTTCATATATTCCTTTAAATATCACCTTCCTGGGTCACTACGTATTTAACGCATGCATTTATTTAATTATTTACTTTTGTGAATTGACTTTAACACTATTTTATGTGGTATTCTGAGCGTTTTTGCTTTTTGAGATAAATGTCAAATACAAATATAGTAAATTGACATTTTCAATATCGCATTTGATAACTGGAAAAAAATGTGTCAAGTAACCCAAATATTGCATGAGGTATCATTTAGTGAATTGAGCCCTTGATGCCGTAAATTTGTCCTTAAATTGACTGCAGTACTTGGAAAGAACTGGAAATTCTAATGAGCATGTCATCTCTACAGTACATCCATCCAAGAGAGAACTCTACCCAGCATAAACAGCAGCACACACCCAGTCTGACTCTTCCTGCACTAATGCATGGACATCAGGTTCCTCAGCTCTGTTCACTGGGCTCACATTATCAAAACTTGAGAAGGGACATGACACCATCAAATTATTTTATTTATTTGTAAGTGCCATAACAGTCCTGTACAAACAGCTATCTATACAGGTCAATGAGGCTAGCATAGATAGAGCAGGTCACGGGTTATTTGTTTCCAAACAATCAGAGGGACTTTGATGGGTGGAGTGGGGAATCCCTGGCCTGAAGAATCACAGTCTTTAAATTAATACTACCAGAACACGAGGTTACTAGACAACATAGAATAGACCGGTGACCTCATATAGCCAGGCAATGGTGGAATTAAAAAAACATTCATGGGACTGATAGTTCACATGGTTCAATGTTAATGTTTGTGCTTGACTGAAGTGTACATTTACATATAAGGAAGACCAGCAAGTTTGCTGAACATGTCAAACAATACAGGTACATTTCTTGTGCATTTGTAATTTTTAAATTGAATTTACTGTAATTAAAGCATAAACATTAAAATTAGTTGCAGCAGTTTTGACAGGTATCCAGCACAGAAAAGTGGAAGAGTAAATGGGTCTGGGTATTGAGGGAAGTGTTTGCAAAGTCCATCAGACCCATTATTAAGTCCTGTCTAATCAAAATGTCACTTCATCCTGAAGACCTGAAACTAATGGGCAATATAAATCTCAAGACTCACAGGTAATCAAGGTTATTTGTGTCGGAGAGTCTCAATAGTCCGGCATATGCTGTGGAGAAAAATAAGACGGGAAGTAATCACTAAAAAATGACATTTCTTCAGTGATAAGTTGCCATGTCAATCACCATAATATACTTTCCAAAATCTTGCATAGAATAAGCAAAGCAGACTGGTGCTGATGAAAAGGCTACAGCTGGCTACAGGATTTCAGCTCACCTTTAAAAAAAGGGATAATGACACTACCTATAGACATAGGGGTCGATTTACTAAAAAAAAGTATAGGCTCAAATTGAAAGGGAATTTTCACTTTGCTAACTGAATGAAAAAGACAGTCGGCCTTGGAGGCAAGAAGCATAAATTAGGTCTTGATAGCAAGCAGCCTAACGTGTACATCTGTGTATGTCAGAAATTCTAATTCTAAAATAGACTGCCTACATCTTTAAAAGAAAAATAAATGAGTAACTATATTGAATAAAAATGGATTGTTCTTGTAATGCATGAATTGATTTGTTTTTCTTTCTTAATTACATCTATGCTAGACTGAGACTACAGTAAAATATTTCTAAAACAAGCATTGCCCTGAATTAATTTGACTTCAGCTTTTTCCATATCACAAATGTCATGTAATACAAAATAAACAAAAGAAAAATGTCAAGCAGTGAGAAATTCAAATAAAAATGTCAGATATCAAAAAAATAAACACAAATAAATTCACTAAAAGGAAAGCATGTGTTTTGGTTTTCCAGCTTACAAGACAAATAATGCATCCATTAATATTGGTACAAAAGCAAGAAGTGATTCAGTGGTGCCTTCTAGCAGCAGAATGAAAAGAACACTCTCACTTTGCTCCTTCCTCTATAAGCACCCATACCTGGGGGGTGGTTAGCCTGTAGGGGGGGGGGGGGGGGTGGTGACAATGGCAACATGTTTACTGCCCAAAAGGAGCATCTAGCCAAATGAGTGTGATTTGTTTCAAGCAGCACAAGTATCCTGAAAAGAGAGGGGTAGCATTTGCACAGATTTACATTCTTGGTCTTTCTTTTGTGTTGCATAACCACGCAAGATGCTGCTGCTGACAGTATTCAGCTTTTAACACCTTCTGTGGCTTCCATGCATAAAATCATGGAAGTTTCTATTGTGGGATTGTGGAATATGTAATTTTTTCCCAGAAAGTTACATAGTTAGTCTGGTTGAAAAAAGAAAAAGTAAAAAGTCCATCTAGTTCAACCAATAAAAAAGTAAAAGAAAAACAAATCACACAGTCCCATATACACAGTCTTATGCCCACAGTTGATCACGAGGAAGGCAAAAACCCCAGCAAAGCATGATCCAGTTTGCTCCAGCAGGTGAAAAAATGGCTCCAGAGCAACAAATGACATTATCAAACTACATGACTAATATGTCGTGAAAAACAAAAGGTGCAAGTAGGCAGATTTATAATGCATTTAACGTGTTACTAAACCCAGGACCCTGCATTCACTATATCTGGTCTCCCACAGTACACAGAACATGGAAATACAATTATTTTAGTAAATACCTTTTTTATCAGCAGTTAGAGCAGTCTTGTGACTTCTATCAGTGTCCAGCAGAGCACTGGTTACAGCTTGTAGAAGGAATTTTCATTCTCCTGTAGGAGGATGCAGGACCCCTCACCTCTGTGTGGACAGTGCTAATTGGCCCTGTGCTGATCACATGCACTCTCCCAAGAAAAAAAAACCTCTCTAGCAATACACATCAAACTGAGCATGTGCAGCTTGGCCCCGAGCCTCTGTTCTATCAGAAGATATTTAGAAGACACTGGAAGAAGGGGAGGATAAGAGAAAACAGCTTTTTAAACAATGCAGATGATTAACCCCTTAGGTATAACAATCATGCTTTACTGCATATACAGACTGATTTTACTGTTGTGGGTTTAGTAACACTTTAACAGAGTTTGGATGTGTTTCTAAATACCCAAAATAAACATGGCTGTTAATAATTAGAATAAATAACACTATAAATTGTTGAACCAAGGAGCATAAAAAGACCTTAGGCAATCAGGAAGGATTTTTTTTCCTATTCAAGCAAATTGGATCATGCTTTATAAGCATTATTTTTTAATTTTGGATCAGCTGAAAGTTTCTGGGGAATTTATTTATTTTTTACTTTGGAACTCGATATACAGTATCTTACAGAAGTGAGTACACCCCTCACATTTTTGTAAATATTTTATTATAACTTTTCATGTGACAACACTGCAGAAATAACACTTTGCTACAATGTAAAGTAGTGAGTGTACAGCTTGTATAACAGTGTAAATTTACTGTCCCCTCAAAATAACTCAACACACAGCCATTAATGTCTCAACCGCTGGCAACAAAAGTGAGTACACCCCTAAGTGAAAATGTCCAAATTGGGCCCAAAGTGTCAATATTTTGTGTGGCCACCATTATTTACCAGCACTGCCTTAACCCTCTTGGGCATGGAGTTCACCAGAGCTTCACAGGTTGTCATTGGAGTCCTCTTCCACTCCTCCATGATGAGATCACGTAGTTGGTGGATGTTAGAGACCTTGCGCTCCTCCACCTTCCATTTGAGGATGCCCCAAAGAGGCTCAATAGGTTTTAGGTCTGGAGACATGCTTGGCCAGTCCATCACCTTTACCCTCAGCTTCTTTAGCAAGGCAGTGGTCATCTTGGAGGTGTGTTTGGGGTTGTTGTCATGTTGGAATACTGACCTGCAGCCCAGTCTCCTAAGGGAGGGGATCATGCTCTGCTTCAGTATGTCACAGTACATGTTGGCATTCATGGTTCCCTCAATGAACTGTATCTCTCCAGTGCCAGCAGCACTCATGCAGCCACAGACCATGACACTCCCACCACCATGCTTGACTGTAGGCAAGACACATTTGCCTTTGTACTCCTCACCTGGTTGCCGCCACACACGCTTGACACCATCTGAACCAAATACGTTTATCTTGGTCTCATCAGACCACAGGACATGGTTCCATTAATCCATGTCCTTAGTCTGCTTGTCTTCAGCAAACTGTTTGCAGGCTTTCATGTGCAACAACTTTAGAAGAGGCTTCCTTCTGGGACGACAGCTATGCAGATCAATTTGATGCAGTGTGCGGCGTATGGTCTGAGCACTGACAAGCTAATCCCCCAACCTCTGCAGCAATGCTGGCAGTACTCTTATGTCTATTTCCCAAAGAAAACGTCTGGATATGATGCTGAGCACGTGCACTCAACTTTTTGGTCGACCACGACGAGGCCTGTTCCAAGTAGAACCTGTCTTGTTAAACCGCTGTATGGTCTTGGCCACCATGCTGCAGCTCAGTTTCAGGGTCTTGGCAATCTTCTTATAGCCTAGGCCATCTTTATGTAGAGCAACAATTCTTTATTTCATATCCTCAGAGAGTTCTTTGCCATGAGGTGCCATGTTGGACTTCCAGTGACCAGTATGAGAAGGTGAGAGTGATAACACCAAATTTAACACACCTGCTCCCCATTCACACCTGGGACCTTGTAACACTAACGTGTTGCATGACACTGGGGAGGGAAAATGGCTAATTGGGCCCAATTTGGACATTTTCACTTAGGGGTGTACTCACTTTTGTTGCCAGCGGTTTAGACATTAATGGCTGTGTGTTGAGTTATTTTGAGGGGACAGTAAATTTACACTGTTATACAAGCTGTACATTCACTACTTTACATTGTAGCAAAGTGTAAAATTTTCAGTGTTGTCACAGGAAAAGATAGAATAAAATATTTACAAAAATGTGAGGGGTGTACTCACTTCTGTGAGATACTGTACATATCATTTTTTTCAACCTGACTATGTAATAAAGATAGAGTTGTAAATAAAAAAAACAGACTGGTTGGTTTTAATGTGAGTTAATGCAAAATGTTGCACTTAGAGAAAAAAAAACAATCCACTGACAGAATACAATACTGGGGTGCAACGTTAGCCAGAACTACAGAGGAAAACGATTTAGGGTGCTTATTTCAGATTATTTAAAATACGCAAACAGTGGAAAAAGCAAACTGAATTCTGGGGTGCATCACCAGAGTGATCACTAGCAGGAAGAAGAGGTCCTGATTCCACTATATGTATGTTTAGTTAAAATGTGACCATCAAAGTGCCCCTTAACATAACATGTGCCCATCAGAGTGCCCCTTAATATAAATGTGCCCATCAGAGTGCCGCTTAACATAAAATTTGCCCATCAGCATGCCCCTTATTTTATTTTAAGGGGCACTCTGATGGGCACATTTAATGTTAAGGTGCACTCTGATGGGCACAACATAGAATGTGCCCATCAGAGTGCCCCTTAACATAAACATGTATCCATCAGAGTTCCCCTTAATATAAAATGTGCCCATCAGCATGCCCCTGTTAAGGGGCACTCTGACAAGCACATTTTATGTTAAGGGACACTCTGATAGGCCATTTATGTTAAGGGGGCACAAATGGGCACATACTGTGGAAATGGGCACTCTGATGGGCACATGTGATGGAAAGGGGCACTCTGATGGGGAATATGATGTAAAGGGGCACTCTGATGGGAATACCTGATATAAGGTGGCACACTGATGGGAACACCCTATTCAGACCTCGGCCAGAATAAATTATTAGTGACCGGACCTCCTTGAATTGTAATTCAATACCCCTGATATACAGAATAGATCTTTACTTAGACCTCATCAAAAATACTGTGTCCAATTCTGGAGACCTCACTTACAAAAGCCTATTGATAAGATAGAAAGAGTCCAAAGATGGCCAACAAAAATGGTGGAAGGTCTGAAGGATAAATAGTATCAGGAAAAACCACAGGAACTTAATATTTACTGATTTGAGAATAAAAGGGATAAGGAACATGAGTGAAACCCTAACTACATGAGCGGTGTGAGGTTCAGAAGGGCAGTATTTTAAATATATCACAAAGATCAAGAAAACGAGAATATGACCTCAGAGTAGCAGGAAGAACACTCAAAACTAACCTTAAACAATATTATATTACCAAAAGTGTAAACAATGCTTGGAACAGACTTCCAGTAGAGGTAGTGAATCAGTCAACAGTAAATTAATTTAAAAACATGCTTGGGACAAACATTAACATATAGTCAGACAAAAGGGAAAAAAAAATCATACAGAGACAGACTTGGAAAACCACTTGTTTTTTTTCTGCCTTCACATTTCTAAGTTTCTTTTTAGTTATACATTCTCAAACAGAAAAAAAAAATATGTTTATCATAATGATAAGTAAAAAACCTAGCTCAGTTTTCCATTGTTTCATGGTAATGATGACTAAACCACATCTTTTTGAGCCATGTTCATGTTAGAAAAGCCACGCCTACTTTTGCTGCATAGCATAAAAGTCTTTTTATTAGTTATTTCTTTACTCACCCTCTGCTCTGCTCTCTGATGAAACATGCATGTATAAGTGGGATTTTTAGTGATCATGAATAGGTAAGTGGTCCAAAGAACTGATTTGCTTGCTTGCTTTCTGGAGGAATGCCTGCTTTTTTAAAAACAAAAATAAAGACCAGTTTAGAGCTAACCCCGGGAAGTGCTGCTGGAGATATATGGGTCTCTCTTTCCTCTCCAGGGGCTGTCCTCCTATTTTTCAGTCTCAGAAGCACAGCAACAAATTCAGACTCTCATTTAGGATTCCTTTCAAGATCTATTGCAGATCTTGGACAAAATGCAGGGAGGAAGGTTGAGGGTACAGGATATGCAAAGGCAAATACATCTTAGACAACTTCCTGAAAAATCCTTGTTCCAGCAGTACTAGCCCTGTAGTAGGAGTCTCAAAATGATGCTGAAGAAAGAGTAGATAGCTAGTAAACCTAAGAGCCTATGCGAGCAGTCACAGTCCTTAAAGGATAAGTTCACCTTTTGGACAAAAATAATAAATGCACATTTTTTTGCAGGTAAAAAAAATTGTCCATTTATTATTTTTGTCCAAAGGAGCCTGGAAGGCATTGCACCAGTGATCAGTAGATCCCTGTTGCCATGTAGATCTACTGCAGACCTGTCAGAATATCTGCTTGCCATTCGGGATGTATGGCCAAGCAGATATTGTGACAGGAAGCTTCAATGAACTACCCCAGCGCTCCACAGCATCATGGTCATTCATTGAAAACTACAAGCCCACAGCCACTAAGGCTGCCGGGACTTATAGGCACTCATTCACAGAACCCTGTTTTCAAATCTGAGAGATAGTACGGGGAACCTTCTTCCTGTACTACCTGTCAGAGGGAGGTGGGGTGGTGGGTGGTGGCTGCGGCTATGGGAACATGTTTCATGTTCCACCCTAAAAACGGGTGGAACATGTAACATGTTCCAAAGGTGAATTTATACTTTAAAGTCGCTGTAAACCTCAAACATGAAATATGAACAAGGCATATCCCTCTACTTGTCTCAATCCAGGGCATTTCTGTCTGCTGCCTCATTCCTCTGCTATCAGCATGAATAACTTTTGACAAGTTTTCCTAACACCAAAAGAAAAAAAGGTCATAGGGGAGGGACCTCCAGCACACAGCCTGTGATTGACAGCCTCAGCTCTGTTCCTGTGTTCTGTGTGAAAAGGAGGGCATGTCTCTTCCTCCAATCAGCTCTCCTCACTGAGCTCTGCAATGTGTAATTTCAGCTCCCCGCCCCATGTTTTCTGACAGCTCAGACAACAGCTCAGCTGTATAAATTTTGGACTTTGAACAGATATAGAGAAAAGAGGCCTGCAGATAAACAGGTACAACTTACATTATGCAGAAGGATATATTTAATCTCTTAGCATCACCTGAGGCTGGTCACTTCACTGGGTACATGTGAGGGATTACAACCACTTTAAGCAGCAACCTCTGGTTTCTCTTCCTCAGTGAGTGGTTCTATACCTCCAGCTTCAGTTGAAAGGCACCTACCTCTCCAGCCAAGCTTCTACAGGCAGTGTCTTCCAGTAATTTTCTATAAATCCAGCTTCCTTCAGACCCCCAGCCATAGCATCTGCTGAGGCCTAACATCAGTAGCGCTTCTGTATCACATGATGCCTCCAGGGGAAGACCTCAGGAGAGAGAGCTCTGATCAGATCCTCCCAAACATTTATCTTCTTCTCAGCCACGCCTGCTGGGTGCCCCCTCCCCGGTTCTGTGATAATCAATAAATCAATAAATATTTATAACCCAGTGGTTGATTCTCCTACTCTATTTCTGGAATATTCTTCTAAATGCAGGCAGAAGCAATCAGCCCCCAGGTTTAGGGATAAACCTGACCAGACCTAAAAAGTAAATTGCAGGTCAGCTGGTTACAGGAAAGCCCTACACTAAGTTTAACCAGCCCAGGGCAGGGGCGCTACACCTGTGTGACCTGTAAAGCTTTGCAGACATCCACTATTTAAGAATGTTTCTATTTCAGATGGATCATAAGTGTTTTACTATTAAGCAGTACATAAAATGGCGCTACATAAGTTAGTCATTTTATGGGTATCTGCCTGCAATATGCTCTAAGAAACACTGATATTGGTATGGCAAAAATGAATGAATAAATATACAAATAAGTTCCATTTGACAACACACATACTGTGTTAAATATCATTTACTGTGTATTTGCATGGTGCTGTCTTCCTGCCCAGTTAGCATTCTAGGCATTAAAGAACTAGATAAAAATATTGATATATGTGAACAGCTCATATAGTTCATACATGGTTTTGCCGCTAGCTTAGTTTCTTTGTTCCAGCAATGTGACTGTTATGTGATGGCCTGAAACGGTTTTATAATAGAATATTTGCCTAGGAAATGAGACTGCATTAATGGATGACCTTTAGCTAAAGGCATTATGTTTGCTAGAAACTCATGGAAGGCTGAAAACAAATAAATAAACTATACTTAAAGGACATGAATAAACAGTTAGAAAGGAAATGTAATCATAAATGAAATTTGAAATTCAGATCATTTAAAATTTCCATTAAACATGAAGGTTCGCCATTATTGCTAACGGGACTTTTTAAAAAATACTTTGGAGGGGTTAGCATTCTCTTTCTTTTTTCTTTCTTTCTTTCTTTCTTTCTTTCTTTCTTTCTTTCTTTCTTTCTTTCTTTCTATCTGAAAAATTGCTTTATCTCTATCTATTACGATTGCCTGGGTTTATGAATTGTGTGATTCCTTTCAAACCAGACTTTATTGATTTGCACTTAAGACAGAACTGTGGTCAGGCAATGGACATTTAAATTTAAATATTAATATATTCTTCACAAGCAGTAAATATACTTTAAAACAAACTCTCAATGAACTCAGTATCTGCAAGTATTGTGGAACAATTCATCCTTAGGCCTCTTGCACAACAGGTTCCAAAAATGCCATGTTTTTAGGCATTCAAGCATTTTTTTTTTTTTTACCAATCTAATTGTAGCCTATTGTTTTTAATGGACCTGTACATACAGGGGCATAAACTTACACTGCATATAGATCAGTAAGAAAAAAAACCTCTGCATTGCTGGTCATCGTGTTTACACGTATACATGCAAATATGCACTAATGTCACACTCCCTTACTTAA